TAAGCCTAAGTCAAAGGACAGAAGAGCAGGGCTTAGGAAAGGTGTAATATTCAGACTAAAGATCTACATGTAGATTGTTATATGTTTATATACTCTAAGTAAGTAGCATAGCATAGCAGAAGACTATGTTGCTGAGTGTACAGAATTACTAGAAGATGACTGAGACATATGAGAAAGGGGTCGTGAGACAGTATGTACACAATGGATCAATATCACTCTGGTATAGGAATTACCAGTGATCTGAAAGGAGAACTATGATACCAAAGGAGGTAGGACCAGTTTGAGTGGTTCCTAGTCTAGAAGTGGACCGGTCACATATTGCAGTAACATATCTCCGTATTATACGAGTGAAACGGACGTGCATAATATCCCGTATGATACGGGCCAGCAGACCATGGGCCGAAGGTAGATATATCCTCGACTATGATGGATGGGCCGGGAGTGTTATTATTCCTGATGGAGACGGGTGGGCCCATGTAGGGAATATGTAGAGTAGATGAGTGGGCCGATGGACATGAACATTCAAGAGACGGATGGGCCGAGGTAGTTGGATATTATGTAGATGGGTTTACCAAGGTAGATGTGTATCAAATAGCCAGGTATGTCAAGGGTGCTTGTTATCACATAGACAGGTGGGCCCAGATATATATCATATTAGACGGGTGGGCTGATGAATTAAGATTATTTTGTAGATGGGTGGGCCGACATATTGGTATTATTTTGTAGACGGGTGGGCCGAGGGAGTGGTGAAATATTTATTATATATATGGGTGGGCCAAGGGAGTGGTAAAATATTTATTATATATACGGGTGGGCCGAAGGTAGTCATATATTGCATAGACGGGTAGGCTGACATGGGGGTATATAATATAGACGGGTGGGCCGAGAGAGCAATTTATTAGATATTATATAGATGGGTGGGCCAAGGTAGTTGGATATCACATATACGGGTGGGCCCAGATACATATCATATAGACATATGGGCCGAGGTAGTAGTATATTATATAGACGGGTGGGCTGAGATGGTTGATATCATATCCACGGGCCAGGTAACATCTATTGATGTCCGGGTAACTAATATTGAGTTCCAGGTAACTAATATCGACTTCCGGGTATTTCATAAATTGAACAAATCACCAAGTACCAAGTACCAAGTTCCGGGCATCGAGTTCTGGGCATCGAGCACTGAAACATGAAACCAAAATACAACATTTTGTAAATTGAACAAATCACCAAGTACCGAGTTCCAGGCACCGAGTTCGGGGCATCGAGTTCTGGGCATCGAGCACCGAAACACGAAACTAAAATACAACATTTTGTAAATTGAACAAATCACCAAGTACCTAGTACCAAGCTCCGGGCACCGAGTTCCGGGCATTGAGTTCTGGGCATTGAGCACTGAAACACAAAACTAAAATACAACATTTCATAAATTGAACAAATCACCAAGTACCAAGCACCAAGTTCCGGGCACTGAGTGCCGAGTACCGAGTTCCGGGCATCGAGTACCGAGTGCTGAAACCCAGCACTCGGCACTCGGTACTCGATACCCAGAACTCGGTACTCATGCTGAATATATTGGTAGATCTTAACCTATTGATGTCATGAGACTATGGATAGACTCCCCTAGACAAGGGCTACAACTTTAGTTTTCATCGAAAAAGTTCCCACGGTCTACAATATCGAGTCCCAAGCACCGGGCACCAGGCACCAGGCACCGGGCACCAAGTACCGAGCACCAAGCACTGAATTATCACATAGACGGGTGGGCCCAGATATATATCATATTAGATGGGTGGGGTGACGAATTAAGATTATTTTGTAGACGGGTGGGCCAAGGGAGTGGTGAAATATTTATTATATATATGGGTGGGCCGAGGGAGCAGTAAAATATTTATTATATATATGGGTGGGCCGAAGGTAGTCATATATTGCATAGATGGGTAGGCCGACATGGGGGTATATAATATAGACAGGTGGGCCGAGAGAGCAATTGATTAGATATTATATAGATGGGTGGGCCAAGGTAGTTGGATATCACATATACAGGTGGGCCCAGATACATATCATATAGACATATGGGCCGAGGTGGTAGTATATTATATAGATGTATGGGCTGAGGTAGTAGTATATTATATAGACGGGTGGGCCAAGATGGTTGATATCATATCCACAGGCCGGGTAACATCTATCGAGTTCCAGGTAACATCTATTGAGTTCCAGGTAACATCTATCGAGTTCTGGGTAACATCTATTGATGTCCAGGTAACTAATGTCGAGTTCCAGGTAACTAATATCGACTTCCGGGTATTTCATAAATTGAACAAATCACCAAGTACCGAGTACCGAGTTCCAGGCACCAAGTTCCGGGTATCAAGTCCTGGGCATCGAGCACCGAAACATGAAACTAAAATACAACATTTTGTAAATTGAACAAATCACCAAGTACCGAGTTCTGGGCACCGAGTTCAGGGCATCGAGTTCTGGGCATCAAGCACCAAAACACAAAACTAAAATACTACATTTTGTAAATTGAACAAATCACCAAGTACCGAGTACCAAGTTCCGGGCATCGAGTTCTGGGCATCGAGCACCAAAACACAAAACTAAAATACAACATTTTGTAAATTGAACAAATCACCAAGTACCAAGCACCAAGTTCCGGGCACCGAGTGCCGAGTACCGAGTGCCAAAACCCAGCACTCGGCACTTGGTACTCGATGCCCGGAACTTGGTACTCGTGCTGAATATATTGGTAGATCTTGACCTATTGATGTTGTGAGACTATGGATAGACTCCCCTTGACAAGGGCTACAATTTTGATTTTTATCTACATAGTTCCCACGGTCAAAGTGCTTTCTTGAACACTCCATTTGCAAGTATTTTGCTTATATCATACTAGGATCTTAACCTATTGATGTCATGAGACCATGGATAGACTCCACTAGGCAAGGGCTACAACTTTGGTTTTCATCGAAAAAGTTCCCATGGTCTAGAATATTGAGTACCAAGCACCGAGCCCTGAATACTCGGTACTCGCTACCTACTCGATACTCAAAACTCGGTACTCAGTACTCAGTTCCCAGTACTTGATACTCAATGCTGAATATCTTGGTACTCAACTGAGCACTGAGTACCGACTACCGAGCACCAAGCACCAAGCACCAAGCACCAAGCACCAAGCACCAAGCACCAAGCACCAAGCACCAGGCACCAGGCACCGGGCACTGGGCACTGAGCACTGAATACTCAGTACTCAACTGAGGACTGAGTACCAACTACCAAGCACCGAGCACCGGGCACCAAGCACCAAGCACTGAATACTCAGTACTCGGTACTTAGTACTCAGTTCCCGCTACTTGATACTCAATGCTGAATATCTTGGTATATCTTAACCTATTGATGTCATGAGACTATGAATAGACTCCCCTTGACAAGGGCTACAATATTGATATTTATCTAAAAAGTTCCCATGGTCAAAGTGCTTTCTTGAACACTCCATTTGCAAGTATTTGCTTATATCTTACTAGGATCTTAACCTATTGATGTCATGAGACTATGGAGAGACCCACCTAGACAAGGTCTACAACTTTGGTTTTCATCGAAAAAGTTCCCACGGTCTACAATATTGAGTACCGAGCACCTAGCCCTGAATACTCGGTACTTGGTACCTACTTGATACTCAGACCTTGGTACTCAGTATACAATGCTGAATCTCTTGGTACTCAACTGAGCACTGAGTACCGACTACCGAGCATTTAGTATATTGAGTATTGAGTATTGAGTACTGAGCACCGAGCACTGAATACTCAGTAATCAGTACCTACTCAATACTCAATACTTGGTACTCGGTACTTGATACTCGATGCTCAGTACCTACTCAATACTCAATACTTGGTACTTGGTACTTGATACTCAATGCTGAATATCTTGGTACTCACCTGAGCACTAAGCACTGAGTACTGACTACCAAGTATTTAGTATTTAGTATCAAGTACCGAGTATTGAGTACCAAGCACCAAGCACTGAATACTTGGCACTCAGTACCTACCTGATACTCAACACTCAGTACTCAGTAATTGGTACCTACTCAATACTCAATACTCAATACTCAATACTCTGTACTCAGCACTGAGCACTGAGCACTGAGTTCTGACTACCAAGTATTGAGTACTGAGTATCAAGTACTGAGCACCGAGCACTGAATACTTGGTACTCGGTACCTACTTGATACTCAAGTACCTGTATAGTGTACCCTCCCTCAGATACATCATATCACTGGACCAGGACACCTACACGATCCTTCTACAGCAACAAAAATTGATAAATCATGTGTTTCACATTTCTCATGTTTTTGATTGTTCTATCCTTGCATAAATAATCCAATATATTCATATATCATTAGCATAGCATATATACTTGCTTTTCATGACCAGGATCAGCTCAAAATATGCTGTTGCTTTGAGATGGTATATATACTTGATATTTCTACTGATAAAAGGCCCATATCTCTGAATTATTGAACTTTAATGATCAGACACCTAGAGTATATTTCACATATATTCAGTATGATGGATCTAAAATTACAGAAAGATCCACCAGGAATTGAGAGCTGGGGAAGTGAAATAGATAAGAAATTGAGTGTGGGAAATGTCAAAGCTCAAATGCCCCAAACATCGAAAATGGTCAGTTGGTGTATCCTTGGCTATGGGCAACCAATTCAAACACTTCTATGCCACATCCCTCCCACCAACACTCTACCCTCAGGGCAGTATGCAGTATAGGTTCCTTAGGTAGTCCACCATGTATCCTACACATTTTTAATGAAATCTTCAACCTGTATCATATATAAATGTGACTTTGTGTGAACAGATGTCAATTGTCACTTTTCACACGTATATTGTTTTGCTTGTCATTCAATCAATCCTGGATGGATCTTTCTAAGTCTTTAAGGCTATCATTTACCATGTGGGCTTTTGATCAGTAGAAATATCCCCTTTACATCAGATCTCAAATTTCCGGCCTAAATATCACTGATCCTTAGCATAATAAATGTAATAATGACAGTCTATGAGTAACTTGGATAATCTGTGTAAGGGTAGGGTGGTAAAACATATCAAAATGTCACAATTGTGATTTGTCAAGTGTTGTTCCTATGGAAGGATCATGTAGGTGTCCTGGTCTATCTATATGATGTATCTACTACCAATATACATAGAAATAGACCCCATACCTGGGTGCTTGGTGCTCAGTAGTGGGTACTCAGTGTGCTCAGTGCTTAGTTGAATACCAAGATATTCAGCATTGAGTATCAAGTACTGGGAACTGAGTACCAAGTACCAAGTTTTGAGTATCGAGTAGGTACTGAGTACCGAGTATTCAGTGCTTGGTGCTCGGTATTCAATTTTATAGACCGTGGGAACTTTTTCGATGAAAATCAAAGTTGTAGCCCATGTCAAGGGGAGTTTATCCATAGTCTCATGACATCAATAGGTTGAGATCCTAGTGAGGTATAAGCAAAATACTCGAAAATGAAGGGTTCAAAAGTGTTAAGGTACATATTGAGTAGTGAGTAGGTACCAAGATATTCAGCATCGAGTATCAAGTACTGAGTACCAAGTATTGAGTATTGAGTAGGTACCGAGCATCGAGTATCAAGTACCGAGTCCCGAGTATTCAGTGCTCGGTGCCCGGTGCCCGGTGCCCGGTGCTCGGTGCTCGATATTGTAGACCATGGGAACTTTTTCGATGAAAACCAAAGTTGTAGCCCTTGTCTAGGGGAGTCTATCCATAGTCTCATGACATCAATAGGTTAAGATCCTAGTAATATATAAGCAAAATACTTGCAAATGGAGTGTTCAAGAAAGCACTTTGACCATGGGAACTTTTTAGATAAATATCTGCCCGGTGCCTGGTGCTTGGTGCTTGGTGCTTGGTAGTCGGTACTCAGTGCTCAGTTGAGTACCAAGATATTCAGCATTGAGTATCAAGTACTGGGAACTGAGTACTAAGTACCGAGTACCGAGTATTCAGTGCTCAGTGTTCGGTACTCGGTGCCCAGTGCCTGGTGCCCGGTGCTCAGGACTTGATATTGTAGATGGTGGGAGCTTTTTCGATGAAAATCAAAGTTGTAGCCCTTGTCTAGGGGAGTCTATCCATGGTCTCACGACATCAATAGGTTAAGATCCGAGTCGGTACTCGGTACTCGGTGATTCGTGTGTATCATCTTACATTCGTATTTCTGTACACATTTCACCGAGTACTGAGTACTGAATCTCGGGTGTCGGGTGTCGGGTGTCGGTACTTGACTCGAAACTTGAATCTCGAACCTTGAATCTTGAAACTCGAAACTCGCATAAATCTGAGTTTCGAATCCTGAGACTCGAATCACCGAGTACCGAGTACCGAATCTTGGGTGTTGGTACTCGGTACTTGGGTGTCGGGTGTCGGTACTCGACTCAAAACTCGACACTCGAATCTTGAATCTTGAAACTCAAAACTCGTATAAATCTGAGTTTTGAATCCCAAGACTCGAATCACCGAGTACTGAGTACCGACACCTGAGATTCGGTACTCGGTACTCGGGTGTCGGGTGTCGGTACTCAACTTGAAACTCGTAAAAATGTATGAGTTCCCAGTTGAGGTTTGAATTTCAAGTTGAGTCTCTCTCGAGTCTCCAGTCTGGGTGTTCGGGGCTCCAGTTTTGGGTTTTGGGTTTCAGGGTTCAGTACTTGGTACTCGTTACTTGGTGAATGTCAGACATGGTGTATTCAGGCTTTCTGGTATCTATCTACTCGACAAAGATGATTCGATTGACCAGCACTGTGGTGAAACGTGACTGTGATCTTATTAGTATCACTCGTCGCTGAGTCTGAGTCGACACGAGGCAGCTCTCTGGTTCTCTTTCAGTGCTTTCGTGGATATAGTATACCAATACCTAGGCCTATCTGTCTATATGATTCGTATCTGGGCCCACCCGTCTGTCTAATATTACCTGACGTCGGCCCACCCATCTAGGTAAAATTCCCAACTTCGGCCCACCCATCTATGTAATATTTCCCTACGTCGGCCCACTCGTCTATGTAATAAATAATTCACCTCACCCTCGGCCCACCCGTCTATCTAATATTAACCCACGTCGGCCCACCCGTCTATATAATAAATAATTCACCTCACCCTCAGCCCACCCGTCTATCTAATATACACCTACGTCGGCCCACCCGTCTATGTAATAAATAATTCGCCTCACCCTCGGCCCACCCATCTACCTAATAATACCCCACGTCGGCCCACCCGTCTATCTAATATTTCCCTATGTCGGCCCACCCATCTATGTAATAAATATTCCACCGCTCCCTCAGCCCATCCGTCTACAAAATAATAGTAATACATCGACCCACCCGTCTATATAATAATATTTGCTATACATCTCTCCTCAGGTCTATAATATATGTCAATCCTACTCTACATATTACCCACATGGGCCCACCCATCTCCATAATAATATTTCTCCCGGCCCATCCACCATTGTCGATGATATATATAACATCAGCATAGATGGGCCCACCTGTCAACATCGGAAATAATATTTCTCCTGGCCCACCCGTCAACATTGGGAATATACATAACATCAGCCCATAATCCGCTGGCCCGTATTACACGGGATATTATGTAGGTCGGGTGACCCGTATAGTACGGGATTTGTCACTGAAGGGGCTCTTCTGGTAGTGTTTCTACAATATGAATATAGACTCAAACCTATGCTAACTACCTCCAACTCAACTTAAATCTTGCAAATCTCTGCCTCTGTCTCCTGACAGCCTTTGCCTTACCGTCTACATTGGACTTAGTCCCTCATAGTCTGTCATATACCTGATCCGACCGCTCCAATATTGATATCCACTCCGCTTTCAAACCCCCTCCGCTCCATCCATCCACCGCTCCACCCAATCATCATCCGCATCTGCCCCTACGCTCCCGCTTGACTGCCCAACCGGTCCCCTTCCATAATGTCTCCATTCAACTGGATCTGCTTTCTCCTTTTAGATATATACTTCCCCTTCGGTACATAGACCCTTACTTCCAGATCACCGGTAATTCCTATTACCGCTTGATCAACTGATCCAACACATACATATTGATATCCGCTCCAACTTATGTCTTCGCCTGTGTAAAGTACTTACAAACTATATCCTTGGTACATAGCCTTACAACATAGTTATCCTGATCACTGCCTCATACATAG